CCTCCCAAGTGCTGGGATTAAAGGCGTGCGCCACTACTGCCCGGCTGGGAAAGGTGTTTGGTAGAAAAGAGGGACAGGACTGTATGTTAGGGCTGGATAGAGTCACCCCATTGCCCAGTGAGTACCTAGACATTCAGACAACAAACTAAAAAGAAAAAAAAACGCAATGGAGGGAGGCGACAGGACCTTGTCCACTGTAGTTAAGAGAGGAGAGGCCTTTCCTAGAAGGCCCACACTGGGACAAGAGGCTCATTGGTTGGCCTGAGTCACCAGATGACAGTGGAAGCTTCCTGAACTCTGGCCTGGAACCCAGGATCTATCAGCCCTGAACAGTCAGAACGTTAGCAGTATTTCACAGTCTGCTCTCTCAGCTGCCAAATCTTCGGTCTCCTCTAGACTCCTGCCACCCTTTCCCAGCCTCTCCCCTCCAGACCTGCATCCCTTCCCATCTCCAGTTTCATAAATATCACCAAGAGCTGAATAAGGGAAACCCCCACTGCTTAGTCCTGAGCAGCATCAGGTCCCTGCACCAACGCAAACCAATTCTTAGAGAAAACACTGGGTCTGATCCTATAGCTCCCCCATTCTGCATGTTTGTCCTGCTTCAAGGTGGGTTATTCAGCTCACCAGGAAGGGGGACAGAGAGAGTGAGGGTGAGTGATTGAGCCTGCAAGATCCTTAAAGAGCGTTATCTGAAAAGGGTTTCTTGCCTTTTGTCTATTAAAAGGCCAAAATTCTCAGAAAAATTTCTTAGGTACAGAATGTTGTCAAATAGTAAGCAGAAGCACAATGCAGACTTAAATAGCTTCATTGGCTAAAGCAAGAGTGAAGGCCTCTGCTCTGCCTTGCCTGGTCTCTCCATGAAGATGCTCGCATAACCTCCTCAGATGCAGCAGAGGACAGAGGTCTGTTTGGAGCAGTCGAAGTGACTGATCAACATTCCAAACTTCTCTCTTGGAAAAACAAGTGGTATAACCACCCAAACCTTAGGCTCTCTAATCACAACGGCCGTCTTAGCTCTCACCTGCTTTGGCAAAGTCTTCCCGGTTATAACTGAAATCCTTGAGGAAGGTGATGCTCTCACTCCCAGGGTTGTACCTCCGTGATGTCTCCAGAAGCATCACCTGCACACAAGCAGCAGCTTTCAAACAGGCACGAAGGGGCTGGTCTTGGTGTGTGGCCCTCGGAAGGAGGTTGACTCCCTTCCCTAAGGACTCAGACTCTCCAAGCTGGATACCTGGAGATCCCCTACAGATAACCCTACTCTGGTTTTCCCTTCATCCCGTTCCCTTTCCAGCCACCTCAATCGCAGAGGTCTTCAGTAAGGCGATCTGGTCCTCCCTGCTGAGCTGCAGGAAGCCAGGAAGCTGTTTGGCAAAGTCAACAATCTCCTGCACAGACACGATGGCCAGCTCGGTAAAGTGGGCAAAGCGCTGTTGCCGGGCTTCCCGGCTTTGAGGGTCAGGTGCGATGGGCCAAGGCTACCCAGGGTGGGCAAGGGAGGAAAAGTTAAACTGCTGTGAGTCAGAAGTTAGCTGCTGCTGCAGGCCCAGCCACCTCTCCCCAGGTCATCAAGTACCGTGACTCGAAGTCGGTCAGAAAAGGAGCGTCTGTTACACTGCTGCTGCGCGGCAACCAGCTTCTCGATCATGCCCAGTTGCTCCGGGCTGAGCTGGGGCAGGACTTGGGGAGCTGAGGAAACCCTTGGGGACACTGATGTGGTTTGAGCCTGTTCCTCTTCTTGCCGCTTCAGTTTCTTCAAGCGGATCTGCTCTTCTGACAAGACACCTAAAGACAGGGCCAGATGTGAGGTAGGAAGAGGGACAAGGGTGAACAAGAGGCAGAGATGGGGTAGAGGGGATGGGTGGTTTGATGCTCTAGAAACAAGATGTGTGTAAAAGCAAGGGCATTTTTTTTCTTTCATTCTTTCTTCTTTTGTTGCTATTGTTTTTCTTTTGTTTTTCAAGACAGGGTCTCACAGTGAAGCTCTAGGCTATCCTGAAACTCACAGTGTAAACCAGGCTGGCCTTGAACTCACAAAGATCCACCTCTGCTTCCCTAGTGCTGGGACTAAAAGTGTGTGCCACTATGCCAGGTTAAGGGAGACCCTGCAGGAGTGAGCATCTGTCTGCCTCCACAACAGGGCATCAATATTTTCCCATCAGTTCTTCCCAGTTCCTGCTCCGGGCACTTACACTCCTCCCTCATGCCAGCCTGGAGGCATTTGCGAAGCCGACACTCCTGGCATTTCCGTCGCATGTAGGTGTCCATGGGGCAGTGGCCACCGCTGTGGCAAACATAGCGGGCTCCCTTGATGACACTGCGGCGGAAGAATCCCTTGCAGCCCTCACAGCTTAGCACATTGTAGTGGAAGCCAGACGCTTTGTCCCCACACACGCTGCACAGCTCATTCCCCAGCATTTTGGGGGCTGGCCCCTTTTTTCGCTTTTGCGGACGAAGCTCTAGATACAGACAGACAAAATGCTCAATGTGCATGTCCTCCCTCCCTCCCCACCTCTCAGATTCACAATATGTAGCTTAGGTGGGCTTTGAACTTTTGAACTCCTGGGCTCAACTGTTGCCTCAACCTCCAGAGTAATTGGAATTACTGGGGCATGCCATAGTATTGTAACATTTGCCGTCTTTTACCAAGGACCAGTATGCCCTAGGTACTGTATGAGCTCTTTGTAAGTACTGATCCTGAAGACAATCATAAGGGTTAATTTCAAATCACAAAGAAATTGAAGCTGAAAATTCAGAAATGACTGAGACAGACAAAATCCACACCAAAGTCAGCTAGGACGAGCTTTCGGACTTATCTGTGGCACTAGAAGGCAAAGGCCCCCAGAGTTCCCCTCCTAGGTCTGGGGAGCCCCTACCTTTTCCGAATCTGGGTGCTTCTTACCTGTAGGCTCTGGAAAAGCTTCTGCCCTGGGAAGCAGGGCTGTGGGCTCTGCTGCCTCCAACCCCATTCTGAAAGCACTTTCAGCAGACTGGGGCATCCTAGCTTCCTCCCTGAGGACGCCGCTCTTGCCTCCCTGGTCTTTTGCATCTTCGGTTTCTGCCTTCCACAACTCCGTGGCAGAATCTGAGCCCAAAAGAGGCACAAGGGAGTAAGAGTGGGTTCGTGTTCCATCTAGACTCCTTCCCCAAGTATCTTGGCTGGGAAGCTATAAACTTCACTCTACCCTTAGAAAGCAGCCAGACTAGCTGGGAGCTGTGCACAACTTTAATCTCTGGGAGGCAGAGGCAGGTGGGCTTGAGTTTAAAGCCAGTCTGGTCTACACAGTGAGTACCAGGACTGCCACGCTACACAACGATGTCTCAAAACAAACAAACAAACAAACAAACAAAAATGAAGGCACCTAAGCCCCAGCTCATGTTTTCAGATTCCAGGATTTTGTGGAGTCAAGGACTAGTCAGTTGCAGCTCTTTGCACATCAAGATCTTAAATGTAGATGCTAGCCCTTGTTCCCGTGGGGGTGGTGGAGAGCATCCATTTCATAGATCAGACAGGACTTCCACAGCTAGAACCAAGCATTAGCCGTGTCAGCACTACCAAGAAGGAAGCCCAGATCGAGGACTTCGTGGGGCTTTCAGCAAACAAGCACCAGAACTGGGGCAAAGGGTCTGAGCAGAGGCAGCAGCACTAATAGATAGAGCTTGTGCTTCTCCTAAGTGAAGGGGCTGATGCCTGAGGTGTCAGCCTCTGAGAGGAGGCAGAGGCCTGGGCTCAGGGAGAAGGTTTGAACAAAGCAGCTTACCAGGACAAACATCAGGCTCTGGAGCCTCCAGCCACAAGGACATCTCTTCCTGGCGCCCTGGACATTACCAAGACACTGTCCTGCAGGAATGAACCAGGTTATACTTGCAGAAGTAGGCCTCGGTTCCCTCTGTGCTCCCTTTTATCTCCTCAGATTACCCGCTGACATTCACTTGTTGTGTACTGGCCTGGAAGCCTTCTGTGTTAGATCCCTATGAAATCAGTTCTGGATACTGAATGCAGGACTTATGCAGGTTAGGCAAAAGGTCTGCCGCTGAACTATACCTCTAGGTTGGCAGGACCACTCTGCCTGCCTGCCTTCCTTCCTTCCTTCCTTCCTTCCTTCCTTCCTTCCTTCCTTCCTTCCTTTGTTTTTCAAGACAGTTTTTCTGTGTAGCTTTGGCTGTCCTGGAACTAGCTCTGCAGACCAGGCTGGCCTCAAAGTCAGAAATCCAACTGCCTCTGCCTCCCCAGTGCTGGGATTAAAGGTGTGCGCCACCACCACTCAGCTTGTCAGGGCTATTCTCAGATCCAGTTTAAAGCTAAGGAAACTAAAGTTTAAAAAGATTAAGGTAACTGCCTATAGCCACCCAGGTGGAGGTGGTAGAGGAAGAGCAGAATCCTGACTTCTCTGCACCCACCTCCTTCTAACAGCATAGCCAGCCAAAGTTAACAGACTGGACCCAAGCTCACTCTGAGTCCCTGCCATTTCTGAAGTCCCAGCGTAAAGTTCTTGTCCCAAGAATCTCCCCAGTACCTCCTCTCCCAGAGCCCTTCCAGTTCTTATGAGACCCAGTAAAACTCTATCCCTGCCCGGAACTTCTGTTGGCAGTACTCCAAACTCCTTCCCTAAGAAAATCTTCCCATCCCACCCCTCTCCAACCCAGAAGCAAGGACAGAGAGAGCCCCCCGGGTCACTGTCAAGGAGCCAACCAGATGAGTCTCCCGGCCACCAGACTTTCAGGCTGCTTAGTCTCTGGAGCCCCCTTGCTGGAGAAGAGGGCGTTGCAGTACCCGGTCCTCGAGGCCGCAGTGGGCAGCCAGTGACCAGAGCTGAGCACACGGGGACCAGCAGGGAGAAGCAGTAAAGTAAGAAAGGCTGAGGGAAGGCACTGTCAAGGGGTCCTTCCTTCCAGCAACCGGGAGCCCTTAGCCTTTTTAGGCCCCCGCCCACGAGGTAGTTTCCCCACCAGCCTAACTCCTCCCCAGCCGGCCACCCCCTTAGCCGGCGCCACCTTGTCCCCTACCCTCTAACAAGACTGTCGCGTTTCCCCCGCAGACCGGGCCAGTTTCATCTCTCTCCTTCCTCTCCTCACCGGGAGGCTCTTTGCTGGTACAGAAGGGCAGCTCTCACACACCCCCACCCTAATCCCAGCAGCCTCCAGAGTCAGCGTTCCCTCCCCCCTTCCCCCATAGACACCTCGCGGAGCAAAGGTCCCGGCACGGCCCGGAATTGCGACACCAAGGCCCAGCCTGTGTTCCCAGCCTCCCTCCTCCCCTGCCTCTGGGAAGGCGCCAAGCTCTCCCCACTAGCCCCAGGACTGAGCCAAGCGGGTAGAACTCCGAGGGTAAAGACAGGCAGGTGCTAGGCCTTCCAGTGAATTTGAGTGTGTGTGCCCTGAGCGGGGACAGAGAAGGGAAGAGGCCAGGAAAGGGAGGCCTGGGAGAGGAGCAGATGCTAGCTAGCAACCCAAGGGCCCCCACCCAGTGTAGATCTCAGAAGATAAGCAAGCCGCCTATCTAGGGAGCAGTCCCATCTGGAGTGGTGTCCTGAGCCACACAGAATCTACAGCTATTGCCATAGCTTTCCTGCAGCCTGAGACAGAAGATTCAGCCCTGAAGGAACACTTCACCTTTCATTGATTTAATCTCCCAAGATTAAGCAGCTGGCTTAGAGAGGAAGCACAGTACTGTCTTTCTGTTTGTTAAATGATAAGTAAAGAAGCAAACAAGTCCCACTTCTATTCCATACTTATTAGCTTGAGTTAATTTCAACTCAGCATAGTCATTTCTGATTAGGTCTGGGTTCAAACCTCAGTGCTAGGGCCCCACCCAGGGTAGGAAAGCACTCCTTGATGAGCTTTGCCCCCATTCACTTCTATGATCTTGAGTGAGCAAGTTAGTGTCTCTGAGTGGGGATGATGATGATGATGATGATGATGATGATGATGATAATAATAATAATAATAATAATAATGTTTTACCACATAAGATCAATGTGAGAATAAGAGGGGCTGGAGAGATGGCTCAGAGGTTAAGAGCACTGGCTGCTCTTCCAGAGGTCCTGAGTTCAATTCCCAGCAACCACATGGTGGCTCACAGCCATCTGTAGTGAGATCTGGTGCCCTCTTCTGGCCAGCAAGCATACAGATAGACAGAACACTGTATACATAACAATGTGAGAATAAGAACCAGCACAGTGTGTGTCAGGGGACGGGTGGGGCTGTCATTTCCCTCCCAGTTCCTTTAGAGGTTTGTCTTCCCATCACCTAGAGCCTATGCAGTCAACCCTTTGAATCTTTGTTTCCATATGCAACCCCCTCCCTATCTCTTTGGTTTCGACAGCAACCCCTAGAGGGAAGTAGACAGGGTAAATGATTCCATTTTACAGTATGCACTGATGTTCTCTTGAGAGTTTGCCAAAGACCACACAGTTAGTGGCCAAGCTGAGGTCAGAATCCAGATGTCCTTTCTCCGGGCCCGCAGATCTTTTCTTCCTGTGTTCAAACCTAGAGCATTCTCGGCTCTGAGAAAAGTTCTGAAATGGAAGAAGCCAAGGCTGGTGGGCTGCAGGGCTGGTGGGCTGCAGGGCTGGTGGGCTGCTGGTCAGCAGGGCTGGTGGTCAGCAGGGCTGGTGGGCTGCAGGGCTGGTGGTCAGCAGGGCTGGTGGGCTGCAGGGCTGCTGGTCAGCAGGGCTGGTGGTCAGCAGGGCTGGTGGGCTGCAGGCTGCTGGTCAGCAGGGCTGGTGGGCTGCAGGGCTGGTGGGCTGCAGATCTCTGGAGATGTTCAATTCAGATGTGAGAAGCAGGAGTTGAGGTTACTGCTGGCTGTTCACCTCCTGCCCCATTCCCAGTTTCCTGTTCACAGGCCCTTCCTGTTTTGCTGTGAACTCCAATTCCCAGGGGTCCACATTAAAGCATAGGACTGGGGCCAAACAAGCAGCCAGTGGGACCAAAACAGAGACGAACGGGGCAGGAGGGAAGAAAACAGAGGAAACAGGTAAGAGTGAACTGGTTGTGGGGGTGGGGCCGAAGGAACAGAGTGGGGGAAGGACGAAAAAAACTGAAGTAGAAAGGGGCTTGCTGAGGATGAGAGGAAGCACAGGCTGAGCCGAGGGAACAGGCAGAGACTGGGAACTCGTGAGGGAAGACGGCAGTCTGCGGGGGTGTTGCAAAATCTGCCCACGTATTCATTTCTCACATTCAGAAAAAGCCCCTCTGGCAGCCCCCATCTTCAGCTTCTGCCTCTGGCTTTTGCTCTTGTTCCTTCTCATCACAAGGTCACCCCTCACAGGCCTCCGCCCTGGTCTGGACTCTTATGAATCATGTGCACAAGGCTCTCCACTCTTCTGTTCCTTTCCCTATTTTCACAAGGACCTGTCATCCAAGGACAGCAGCACAGAGATTAGGACTGCTCAGCACCCACCAGGTATCCAGACAGCTCTCTCCCTTGCCCTATCCAGACAGCTCTCTCCCTTGCCCGAGTTCCAGCCTAGTAGCACACTTAGAGATGTCCCTGATATATCTCATTTCAAGGAACTTGAGATGTTACATTGGTCTGAAGCCCTGTGATATATTTTCTTTTCTTTTCTTTCTTTCTTTCTTTTTTTTTTTTGTTTTTTTTTTGTTTTTCGAGAGAGGGTTTCTCTGTGGCTTTGGAGCCTGTCCTGGGAACTAGCTCTTGTAGACCAGGCTGGTCTCAAACTCACAGAGTTCCACCTGCCCACCTGCCTCTGCCTCCCGAGTGCTGGGATTCAAGGCATGGGCCACTGCCGCCCGGCTTGTGATATATTTTCTAGGGGTTAAAAAAAAAAAAACAGTGTCCCTCATCCATTCCTAATTCTACGCCTTCCCCTGACTGCCTAGCCACTTTTCCAGGGTGCTTCCCAGGCCCCAGGAAGACACATACACAAGTCCAATTTGGAGCCCACTAACCCAGGCTAGAGGCAGATCTGAACAAACAGGTCCTCCCCAAGCCAGGGAGCAGCACAGCTCAGTTTCCTGAAGAAGAGGCAGTTTTGCCAGTACCTCACCACCACAGTTACCCTCCCTTCAGGTTACAGGTGGTGGAGGAGCTTGGCATAAAGAGAAGGGAGAGGGGAGAAATGGGGAAAGCTAAAACCTGTTGATGGTATCTCCACAGACTTTCCAGTGACTGCCCATTGCCCCAAGTTAGGGCAAGCAATCAAGTGATCAGCAGCTAGAAACACACGTGTCCTACTAAACTGGCCCCACCCTCATGACACAGTCCCATCCACCCAAGGCATCCCAGTCCTAGGGGCCTTTCCTATGTTTTCTTGACTCTCATAGGAAGCAACATCCCTGGGAACATCCTTGAGGAATCTTTTTTTTTTTAATTATTTATTTGTAGTGCATTGGTGTTTTGCCCACATGTATGTCTGTGTGAGGGTGTTGGATCCCCTGGAACTAGAATTGCAGACAGCTGTGAGCTGCAATGTGGGTGCTGGGAATTGAACTCAGATCCTCTGGAAGAGCAGTCAATGCTCTTAACCATTGAGCCATCTCTCCAGCCCCATTCTTGAGGACTTTTACAAGTGACATCTCTGATTCCTCCACCCCAAACTTCCAGAGGTGGCTTCTCAGCCTAGAAATAGCAGCATCCACGAGCCCTAGTCAAACAGACCAGTAAATAACTCCTCAAAGGCAATCTTTCCCACTAAGCAGGCCATAAAGTAAGGTTTGCAGAGGTGGGCTGGGGCAGTTACTGGATCCTTTTCGGTGCTCTAGATGAGTAGAAAGAAAGGGAGCCATCTTCCAGAGTGCTGGGAACTCACTCATGCTGGCTAACTTCTGTCCAAACTGCTAATCACAAAACAAAGAAGGAACCCCTGTTTCCTAACTCTGTATGTTCAGACAGGATATAGAACACAAAGAAGAAAAGTAATATTGATTTAGGCTTTTCTTCATAATATTCTGTATGTGTTATCATTTCTTTCTTTCTTTTCTTTTTTTTTTTTCTTTTTTTTTTTGGTGTTTTAAGACAGGGGGTTTCTCTGTACCTTTAGAGCCTGTCCTGGAACTAGCTCTTGTAGACCAGGTTGACATTCAGCTCACAGAGATCCACCTGCCTCTGCCTCCTGAGTGCTGGGATTAAAGGCGTGCGCCACCACTGCTTGGCCATTGCACGTATTTTTTTTTTAATATTTATTTATTTATTATGTATACAATATTCTGTCTCTGTGTATGCCTGCAGGCCAGAAGAGGGCACCAGACCTCATTACAGATGG